AGCCCCCCTCCCCCAAAAACCCCTAACTTGTTGGGGGGCACAATATTGAGGTAAAACCCAGAGCCTATTGCAGCACAGGTAAGCACTTGACCACTGAGCTAAATTCTCAGCTTCCATCAACAATTTTTAAAGATCGAAGCATCAGAAATATTAAGAACCATTGTCCTAAAGCAGCCCTCAGCATCTAGCCATGAAGTACTATTTAGATACCTAAAAACTTAATGAAGAGGTTAAATCTTAACTTTCTTCTTAACACTCCTGACCAAAGTCTGAAGAGCTACATAGCAATGCTTATTGGTACTATGTATTACACATGTACTCATGAGAAACAAACTTAAAATGGAATAGCAAAGATATATCTGGCCATTAGAAAATCTAAGGCAAATGTGGGCAGCCATTTTCCTGATACATGAATATCTATTTCTACCAACTCTTATATCTAGTACAAAATAGTAATTTAACTCTCTTTCTCTTGATTGCTGAGGGTTACCACTAGCAGCATAACTGTTCTATCACACAGCAGATGGTGTGGCCTAGGGACTACACTCATCTTCCTGTCCTACCTACTGAAATGTAAGGTGTAACACCCTTTAACTGAGACTACTGTGCAAGTAGATGTTGACAGAAAGCCATAGTGCTGGCCAAGGGTATGGTATTAGGTACTATTACAAGTTGCTGATCACTAAATTCTCAGCTCAGGTACAGAACAAAGACCAGCAGTCATTTGCCCTTTCCTGTTATATCCACCCTTTAGTTACAAGGGCCATCAATTACATCTCCCTGTGCTTTCTAGGCTATGCTCTGTTGGAATATAAAATATTTCCTACAGGCTTGTAAGTTTAATGCTTTGTCTCAGCAGGTAGTGCTATTTTTGGAAGCCCTGGAAACTTTTGGGAGATGGGAACCAGCTACAGGAACTAGGTCAATGGGACCATGTCTTTGAAGGCTATAGATGATCCCCAATTTCTTCTTTTTCTCTGCCATGAGCTCCTGTTCTTGGTATTCTGCCCTATCGAGGGACCAGAATTAATAGGATTATGGGTGGAATGAAGGTAACACATAGAAGTTATAAAAGAGGATATAAAACTAATTGTTTTTCTAGTTCTATTTTCATAGATTTATGTGTTTCTGGTGGTGAGTAAGTACATAAAAAAATTATTTGATAGTGAAAATGTTAAATCTGATGTGAAGCCCCACAGCTTCAGAATGGCTGTTCTAACTATATGGATGTTTACTGAGATGCATTATATTCTATGGGTCTCTATAATTTTGGTGTGATGTTTATTTTATCTTTAACAAATTTAACTTTAAAATACTCAAAAATTAATACAATTAAATGCGATCTAGCTTAACAAAACACTCCATCTTCAACTGATACACAAAACCACGGTTAACTTATTATTGAAATTTTATCCCTCTTTTCCACCATGGATACATACAGAAGACACTTCAAAATGTATTTTAACCATTCTGGACATGAAAGACAATCTACTCCTTCACTGATTCCCATAAAAATCCATTTAATGTGCTGCAACTCTACAACAATGTTTACTAAAAATACACCTCAGGTTTACGGTTTCAGCAGCACACAACCATTGCATAGTATGTTTCAGGGGACATGGTGCTGCTCTGTAGAATAGCTGGCACTTAAGACTGTATTTGGATCTAAAAAGATCTAGATCAGAGCTACCTAATGCCGTCAAGAGTGTTGATTCACAAATGGGCAAGGTTCTGAGGGGAAATTCCAGGTACAAATTCCCAAGACTTTTTATAGGATGTTGCTCAATGTTTAACAAAACTGTATCTTGACACCTCTGACACACTTAAAAGTTTCAAGGGAAAACATATGATAAGCTTTGAATGTAAAATATTCCCCAAAAGCTCATGTGTAAGACTTGGAACTCCAACAACAACAACAAAAAAAAAAAACAAAACAAAAACTTTGAAAAGCTGGGCATGCTAGTGCAACTCTTTAATCTCAGCACTTGGGAGACAGAGGCAGGTGGATCTCTGTGAGTTCAAGGCCAGCCTAGTCTGGGTTCCAGAACAGCTAGGGCTGTAATACAGAGAAACCTTGTCTTAAAAAACAAAAACAACAACAACAAAAAAGACTTGGTCCCCTTGTACAAGTGAAGTCACTGGAAGATGACTACACCATGAGCGGCATTCCAACGTGGGGGCAGCAGCAAAGCTTAAAAAAAGTATTTTGACCACAAAAAAAATGGAGTTAAACATTGGGTAGACTGATACTAATGACACACAGAGGCACAACTCCTTTAAGAGGAGGCTTCCTTGGCTCCATGCTAGCTGCTAGCTGCTAGCTGCTAGCAGCAGGCAGTGCACTACACTTTGTGGCAGTGTGGACCCAACAATTTCCCAGAGCTGGGGCAGTAAATGTGGCTCCCACCAATACCTCCACCATGAAGCTAAGCTCTCAGGGAACCAAGCGGGGGGAGGGGAAAGCCTGCTGCCAGTGCCATGTGCTAAGCTGAACCATGCTGGCAACTAATATCACAGTCTAAGATTCGTCTCGTGAGATTAAAACAGGCTACAGTGCGTATAAAAATATATACAGGCTGTGTTATATCTTTACATTTTTTGGCTGCTAAGAGACACTGTTTTATGAAAGATGCCGAATTAAATCAACCTATATATTTTAAAAATATCTTGACTTCAAAATGGAGGTAAAAAGGTATGTTGCTTTGGGGGAGGGCTTTGTTTTTATTTTCACAGGAAATGAGAGGCTGTAGATTCATTCCAGTTTAAAGATGATCAGGTTTGACCGAAGAAGACATACCCACCCCCAAAATCCTGACTACAGATATAAAGAAATAAACAGTAACTACAGGAAAAAGGAAAACTACAAAACAACAGATATTCTACCTATTCAAACATAAAAAAAAGTCATCTTTCGCTAACTTGTTGTATAACACACAGTCTATACTTGTATTGATACACACATGTATGTTACCTTTAAAAGTTTATGTATTTTCAGAACAAAGGGACCAGACACTAATGAAAACGGTTGGCCCACATGACCTAGCATCTTAAAATGCCTCTGTTACAGTCTCCTCAGAATTCTGCATCCAAAAGCTTCAATGCTGCTGGTTGAGATGGTCCAGCCTCACAAACTACTCCAGCCAAGCCCTAACAATTATTCTGATTGTCTCAAGATTCCCCCAAATATACCAGTGCCCAAAGACAAAAGGAAGTAGTCTAGAGAACAATGCCCACATTCCTAAGAGATGGGGTCTGGGTGGGTCTGGGTTATTCAGTGGATTATGGATGTCTGTCATTGTTTAGGGGAGATTGGTTACAAGTTATTATTGGTAATGGTCAGGAAAAAAAATGAACAAAGGATATTAGACTCAAGGATCTCATTCTGAAAAGAAAAGGGGGAATATAGAATGATAGGATAAAAGGGTACATTACTGAATCTACTTTTAAACTTAAAAAGCAACTACTAGTCTTAAGTATTTTACACTGGTATAGATTTTGGTTTATTAATACAAATTTAAAGTTATCTTTGCTATACTATATGTATGTTTCTACTCTTGCTTGGGAAACTGGTTATCCAACTCATTTTAAAATGTAATGTGTAACTAAAATACAGGTTAGTGGTTAGTCATCTATAATAATAATCAAATTTATAGTCATACTAAGTATGTTTTCAAGGGTAAACAGATATATTTAGATAGATGGTCTTCAAAGACCTATGGCACTTAAAATGTTTTAATAATGTAAGACTTTATTGACAGTGAAATATGTCTGCTGCTGGCAGCACCAATTTATTTCAGAAAAGATAAGGGGTAGCAAAGAAACGTCATATGGAGTTTGCTTTCCTTATGGCAAAAGCTGGTCATTTGTGCACAGAAACTTGCCTCGATTGTTGACAGTATACTGTCCAAACTGGACCAGCAGGACACAAAAATGCTACTGCCAAACTTTGCTAAGACAAGGTAGGACAAAATTCCTTCAAAATTCCCTGCTTCTCAGAAATGTCTGTCAGATATTTGGCCTGTAAGCCAAAGTTAGATGCCCCAACATAACAGAAGAACCTAGGGTGACTGTCCAAGCAGCCAGATGTCCCTAACATTAGGTAACATTTCACCCTTCTGGGGTCTTTGATGCAGTTCAACACAATATAGTCATAGATAAATTTTTCCTTAGTTATGATAAAAGGTAAATTAGATATAAAACTTTAGATTCACAAAGATAAATAATAGTAGAGTTTTTTTTCTAAATTTTTCAAATAAAAATGGACTGTATATTATAACTGTAGTTCTTGTTAGTAAATGTTGAAGTTAAAACCTTCCTTTTTTAATTAGAGAAAAAGGGGGATATTCTTTCATATTGTGTGAATATGTGTCGCTGTGATTGGGTTAATAAAGAAGCTGACTAGCCAATAGTTGGACAGAATAAGGCTAGTGGGAGAACCAGACTAAGGACACCAGGAAGAAGGGCAGAGAGAGGAGTTGCCAGTGACACATGGAAAAGAAACAGGAGGTGAAAGATGAAAGAGAGGTAACTCCACATGGCAGAATGTAGATTAATATAAATGGGTTAATTTAAGTTTTAAGGGTTAGCTAGTAACAAGCGTGAGCTATTGGTCGAGCATTTCAAATTAATATTAATAGTGTCAGTGTTGGCTATTTGGCAACTTGTGGATAGGACAGAAAAGTCCACCTACACATGAGGGTTCTAACTTCATCAATGAATTAATCTGACAATGGAAACAGGAGAAGGTGGAGCCTACTTGTAAGGAATAGGCCACTGGAGGCTTGCCTGAGAAGGGTATAGTTTTCCCTCACCCCATCCTTTCTCTGTCAGTCTTGCTCTAATGAGTTCCCTGGGATGATGAGGTTCTGTCTCACCACAGACAGACCCAGGAACAATGCAGGCAAGTGAGGACAGACTGAAACCTCTAAACTGGTGAACATAAATGCATAAATGACCCCCCCCCCCACGTTGTTATCACTGAAAGCAAGCAACGGTCTCACCTTCAGCATTTTTTTATTTGCTGTGTTCTTGCCACATTCTCTCCTGAGCTGCTCACTCATAGCTTGTAGCTCTCGGCCAAAGTGGATCATTCTTTCTATGGCAGCCTGACTTCCTCCACAGAGCTGGCGTCTTAACTGACTGGAGTCAACTTCTATAAGCAAAACAAACAGCCATTTCACTACTTATTGAATGGAAAACAATGGGGAAAAAGTGAGAATACAAAGTTTTTATATAACATTTTGTATACTCTTTAGTAACTACTTTTTGGTATTTCATCTATACACAGATATATGTATATTCTTGAGACAAGGTCTTGTCAAGCTGGCTTGGCCTCCCAAGGGCTGAGGTTACAGGTTATATACCACCATGCCCGGCTGCTAAACAAAGATTCAAAAAAAATTTTATATGGAACTTTCTAACTCAAAGCTACACTTTATCTGTCTCAGGTGTCTAGGATCCAACATTCAGTGCAACCAAAAGGAGAGCACCTTTCAATGATTGCATGGAAAAAATAAGTGGAACTCCCTAAAACTATATGAAACAACACGAGGGGGAGAAGTGGGGGGGGGGGGATGAGAATGTGAAACACAGTGATTCCTTCTCAGGCTTTAACTGGTAACAAACATAAAATAAAATGTTCTTCGAAATTAAGCCCCTATAGAAACATTGCTGTATCTTACTAATGGAAAAAAAAAATATTTACACTATTAAGGAAAATGTTACCTTTAGAAGAATTTTATATGCTGTTGACTAATACTTAGTGATTGACAACATTGTACCCATAAAAATCACTACTAATGACAGCATTCATATGATGATGAAGAATGGCTAACATTTACAAAGTATCTAATATAATTAGCTTTTTATAGATGAATTCATCTGCTCTTCACAATGACTTAGGAGATAATATTTTATGCATTTTACAGATAAAAAAAACTGAGGTACACAGCAATTAAGCAGTCTGTCCAAGGTCAAGCAGCTAGTAAGTGGCAGCTGCAGCTTTCAAATTCAGGTAAATCTGGCTCTAAATTGCCCCTACCCAGTGTGTTTCTATCTCTAGATAAAGAGGGTCTGACATCAGCAGCAAAGACAGACCAGGCTGTCCCTTAAACAATTTCAGTGATTATCTTTATCAAAATTACAATGAAATCTAATACTGAAGCAAATTCCACAAATGACTTATAAGCTTTGATCATTTTCACTGTTTGATAAGGATGTATGCTGACCATTTAACTCTATAGGCATTAACAACATAAAGTGAGGCATTCAAATGCATTACTAAGGTGTTGGTTAAAAGTGGTTGAAGTCACACCTAGGAATAGCACTATGCATGTCATATGCTTGAATTTAATGGATTAAAGAGATTCAATTTAGCTGAAATTCACAACATTTCTACCCATTTGGTCTTACTGACTACACTGGAAATGAGTGTAAAAATGTTTTCTATCTCCAGCCCTCACCCCTGAGGTAGTGAAGTATACAGGGTATCACCAGAGCTGAGCCAACAAGACTGGCTCAGGGGCCCTTTCAGGGGCCTAAAGGTGCCTGCTCTCTCCAGAAACCCATGCTCACAAAGAGTGTTAAGTGAGATGTTTCATCTTTGAAATCTGGTTAATGCTCAGCTGTGAATCAGTCCAAGTAAAAACATAACCTTGTAGCCACCAATTTTTATTTAAAATGTAAGAAATATCACTGCAGACCCATTTCGGTGTCACAATCTTCCATTTCGTGGTCATGTTTAGAGCTACCATTTAGGAAACCATTGGATGAAGTTTCTCCAACTCCATTGGAGTAGTGATCTGTTTCCATGTCTACATCATTACTGAAAATGAAAAAAAAATCTAATTTTAGAAATTAGTTTAAGGTAAGTTACTATACAACTCCATAGCCTATAAAAACTAATTTTCATAAAACGACAGCAATCTTCAAATGAGGTACAAGAGGTTAAATCTCAAATGTATCAAGCACACACATAACTCATCTTTAATAAACCAGAAATCCTGAAGATGCAGGAGCAGAGAGGCACATGTACAAGAGTGTAGTGATTCTTACGACTTTACATTAACACGGAAAAATCATGCTTTGACATAATACTTGTTTTTCAAACTCAGATCTGCGCTTCTTTCTTTCTTTGTCCTTGAGTCTTCCCAAGACAACTCTCTTTCTCCACTGCCCCAAGAGTCACTTCTAGCATTTAATGGAGAAACTCTGCCCAATAAACTGATAAACCTGGCTCAGAGAACCCAGCACTGCTTCCCTGCCCTCATCATTTGTTTGCTTCTAGACTTCATACAAGTCTCTAGACCTTTTCATATCTACATCATTACTGAAACTTTGCATTTGGTCCCTGTCCTTGGTATTTAAAAATATGCTATCTCAAAAGTAACTACTAAAAAACAAAACAAAATCCAAACTACTCTAGCTCATCAGCTTCCAGCTACCTAGATCTAGATTTGAACTACTACTCTCCAGCCCACGTTGTTGGCCAGTGACTCTAAAGGACTACCCCATCTTCATTTTAATTTTTATTTTAATGGGATCTATGCTGCCCAGGCCTTGAACTTGCAATCCCCCTGCCTCCACTTTCGAAGGAGCTGAAATCTCAGCTATTAACCACCACAGCTAGCTCAATAAAGCTTTATTTTTCAACAGTAGCCAGATGGTTTGTGGACAAGTTCTCATGTTCGCTTATACTGTATTGTATGAAAGCCTCTGCTACACATGTCCTTTCAAATCCACCCAGGCTTAAAGAGATATCTTAAGATATCTCCTATGAAGAGTTAAATAATACTTAGCCCAGAAGTGGATAGAACTGGTGAAAATTGAGGAATTTCGGGAAAAGGGCATTTCTCATTCTAAAAGTAAAATACATTCATTTATATGAAAAAAAAACCAACAAAACAACAAAAATTGTAAACCCTAATACAGATAACCCACTAGTTAACAGCTGAGGGTGGAGTGTGTGAGTAGTGTGTGCACATACACATTACACACCAACACCCAGCCCAGATTCCTGTTCAACAATTCTGTAAGGTAAACACAGACCTGGGAGATGGGACAAAGGATGAACAGACTGACTCAATATGAATACTATGCTTATCAGAGAAATCTCATAAGATAGAAAAATAAATTTTAAACTTTAAAATCCTTACTATCACAGTGTTAAATAAGCTTTTAAGAATTTTGGACAATCTGATTTACTACTGGAGGCATTCATTTATTCACCCATCCACGTACACACATTTAAAAAAGCCTTGAGGCCTGTTCAAATATTGGACACTAAGAATATTATACGGCTCTCCATGTGCTCAGCTAGTTCATGTACCCCAGAGTGGTCTCCAGCAGTGCTATGAAGAATGTTAATATTAAGGAGCACGTGGTGAGAAGGTACAAAGCAAGGAAAAGGTCTATGTTACCTACAGAGGCACCACCTGGCCTTGGGTCTTAAAGCCAGAACAGGATGAGTGGGTGGGGAATTTCAGACAGTGGGAGGAGAGAAAAGCACAAGTCCCTAAGCCGGAATTCCGGGTAAGAACTCTCAGCTCTGCAACTTATTACCTAATTAGTGACCTTAAAAAATAGCATTTACTTTCTGATATTCAGCTATACATCTATAAAATGGTTTAAACAGCTAATGTCCTCTTTACCGACCTCACAATATTGGTGCAGAGTAGTCATTACCCAAGTACAAATACTTCTTACTGCTTAGCAGTTTAAAAAGCAGTTGCTAAGTTTGCCATCTTTTTCCTTCTCTACTGCAGAGGAGGATGTTGCACTGTCAACCCTGAAGCTAAGCAAGAACAGGTTTACTGTGCAACTTCCTGTCAAGAGGGTGGCATCTAAGAGAAAATACCATACACCAACAGCAATCTTACTGGCAAATGAAAGCAGAACTCTCTTAAAAATACCATTTATAATTATTTGTTTTCCATTCAGAATTTTTTTTTTCTAATAGGTCAGCTTCACTGTGACTAAGTACCCACCCTCCTTAGCAATTCTTTTTCCTATTGTTCTCAAGACTTCTGTGCCCACCCCAGTTTGCAGATCCTGTACCATATACCATTACTTTTACGATTTTTGCCATGCATACAGTATTTCACCACATGATAGATAACCCAGAAATTTCCATCTCTAAACTTTCAAATATAACTTGGTACTAGTTACAGGGCCAAGTTAGTGTGAACCTGGCTCAAATGCTACATCATTGGGCAGGCTGAATGCACATAAATTTGCTCTTGGATGCTTGTATTCAAGTGATTACACTGCATGGATTTTAAGAATGCATGAATGTTAAGTCCAAGTGTGTCAAGGCCCCTAGTATAGTATGTTCACTAACATACCTCTTCTTTCTAATCTTCCAAGTCAGAGAACACAACCAGCAGCATGTCTGGTACCAAACAAGTCCTCAATATTATTACCATGCTAATGACAAAGATTCTTATGTGAGCATCTGTATCACACTGCCCTTGGCAGTAGACAATGCACATACCCCAGTATCTGCCCTTATAACCTTCCTAGAGGGAAGAACATAGTAGGAAAAGGAAGAGCTAAGAAGAGCTCTGCACACAAGGAAGTTAAAAAACCTACAGGAAATAATCTCTACCTTGTTACGTTCTGGGAGCTCATAGCTGCAGGGTGGATCACAGAAGTTCTTCAAACATCATCAATGAAGATGGCATTTATGCCCTAGCCATTTCTACTAATACAAAAGTTAAGGAAATTACTATATTACCTGGTGAAGTTATTAACTTGCTGTGATCTTGACACATTGATACTGTTTAGCTCTGGTACATTCAAACTCGATAACTGGTGTTTACTATGGCAATATGATTGATGTGCTTTATTTGATATTACACCATTGCTACAACTTTCAAAACCTGAGAAGAAAACAGAAACAGATACCACATAGAAACAAACAACATTTGATTAGGTTGCAAAAGTACTTTTGTATTTTACACTTCTAGAATGTAGGAGAGCCAATGGGAAATATAAATAGTTTTTTTAAAAGCTTGATAGTGTATTAAGACTTCACTATAAACTATAATTTCTTCCAAATTTAATTACGGATCTCATTTAATCTCCACAATCACTCATGAGGGCCCTACAACGTTTGTAACAAGGACAAATTATGAGAACTGGGTTAATGATTTCATTGTAGTGCTAACACAGTATTCTTACAAAAGCCTGGATGGTTCAGCCTACCTAGTCAATGTGGGATAGCCTATGCCTCCTAGGCTACAAATCTGGACACTATGTTACTATACTACATGATCTAAGAAATCGTAATGTGGGGCTAGAGAGATGGCTCAGCTGAACTCTAGATGCTCTTGCAGAAGACCTGGGCTCAATTCCCAGCACATACATGGTACCTCACAGCCATTTATAACTCCAGCTTCAGGGGATCCAATGCCCTCTTTTGGCCTCTCCTGCCAATGTACACGTGTGGCACACAAGCAAATGCATATGCAAGCAAAACGCCCATAAAGAAATCAGAATACAATGATATGAATTGTATACTTTGACATAGAAACAATTACAATAAAAATGTCATGTGATTCTGTAATGCTTTTCTGTTCCATCAAGAGCACATGGGGCCACTCTGCATAGTCTGTCACTGACAGAAATGTCATGTGGCATGTTATAATCATCTAATTTTACATATGAATGAACACACCAATTGTCTGATATTCAAGGTGTGAGGGCTAATGATACAGACATGCAAGTCTTGTCCTCATATGGGTCATGAGTCAAAAAGCCTCAAGTAAAGCTGTACAGAACCGTAGTAAAGAACAGAGGTGTTACCTGATGGGGAGTAAAACTATCCCATCATCGGATCTGCTCTATAAAACTAAGCACAGGCTTTGCAAGCTGTGAGCTGGTAGGATGGCAGATGAGGAGGAAAATAAAGAAACTGGAAGAGCGGAATGTAGACAGGGTACATAAAATTTTTTTCCAAAGAATTACAAGGTATGTGTATGGCTTTGGGGATGACCAGAATCCTTCACACTGAAACAGTGGATTTTATTGAAGAACCTGTCAGAATTCATCACTGAAATGACTCATAACGCAATGTCAATTGAAAGACAAGGTTAAGTTTAAGGTATAGTCTTAATTCAAAATGACCCAAGGAAGTTTACTAGAGTTGAAGACAGACTTACTATGAATAAAGAATTCAAACTGGCTAGAAAAGCTTTTGGCAAGGCAACTATGAATCTTGATAACATCAATAATTTCTGAAATTATGATATTTTCTGTGGAAGCCATGTACTATAGATACTTTCTACAGTAATGTTCTGATAGTTAGGCAGGCAATGAAAGAGGTCTTCTGTTTTAGATTTCTAACCTGAGCCTTTAACAGCCTGCCTTATCTGACCAAGTTAAAGTACTGCAACCCATGCAGTTCCATATATAAAGGGTAAAGTAGGGTTTATTGCTTTTATGTACATAATATGTGAATTCTAAATGTCCCTTTTACTTTATCAAAGTTGATACTCATGCTCTATGTAGCTGATGGTTTTAGACAACGTTGGTCTGAAAGGTTATTATCAATAATGACTAGTTTATTTCTTTTAAAGAACCAAGTTTTAATAAGAAATGTTTAACTGTCTTAATATATCCTTTGTTTTGGTATTCTTTTCAAAAGAACATTGTTTTTTTTTTTTTCCTTTGTAAAAAAACTAAGTTTTATGTGAGTACTTCTGTGCTGAGAAGCCTTTTGATTTAAAACCTTTTAGGGCTTATAAATGCTATCAGTCCCAAGAATAACAGGACAAGCATTTGGGATAGTGTTTTACTGATGTAAACTTTAAGTAATTCGTTGTGGAAATGTATACTTGAATAAAAGCATATGTGGCTATACAAACCACTCTTGTGGTTCAGGATATGCAGGCTGTATGTGTATTTAGCTTATTACATTAAATTATTTTGTACTTAGCTTAGAATAAGAATTAAAATTGCATTTCAAGAGGCCAGTCTTTGTGAAACTTGTTGGTGCCTCTTAACATCTCTAAATCAGTACCTGGGGAAATACTACTTGTTTAATCCACTAATATGAGCAATAAATAGTGAAGAATTAACAACAAAAATAAAGCTAAATACACAGAGCTAAGAGCTCATATTGGAAAACAGAGAAGAATGAGGAGGATTAGAAAAAGATCTGTAGAAGTGATGGCAAGAAAGCCAACAGAACCGGAGTGTGAGTATTAAGTAAGCTGAAAAAGAGACAGGGGGAAAAAAAAAAGGTTAGGAATGAGTCAGGAGAGATAGGAAGCCAGCAGACAGCTAGGCTTATAATTGGTGAGGCAGAACAGCCAGATCATTTTAAATCCATACCTTATTAAATGTGATTATTTTCTCATCATTGTCAATGAGTTTACTGACAACTCATTTTGAATGATGACATTTATTTATTAAGATCTGTTAATAGTCTTAGTTACTTATGATACTTCTAGGTACTAATATCCTATATGTCTATTTTTTTTACATAAAACATGAGATTTTATATATACAGCTGAAAAAGGAGACAATAATGTGTAGATTTAAAAGAATTTTACAAGTCAAAATTACATAAAGAAGAGTACAAGTTTAAAACATTGTGTCTCACCAGAAAAATGTGCAGAACTGCTTTTGCCTGGTGCTAAACTGTGGATACTCATTCCATGGCTGGGACTCATGCTTGGACTGCTAAAAGGCCGAGGACTGACAGGGTAACTGTCTTGAGATTTTGGACTTCGGCCTCCCAAACACCGCACTTCACTATCTGTACCATTCACCATTTCTATAAATTGACGTACTCTGAAAGAAAAAAGGAAGTTTATTTAGGCATAATCCTCAAATCTGTATATAGCTATAAAATAAACAGACCTCATTTTAAAACTTAAGATCATTATTTTCTTGGTATCCTATCAAGTGAGTCATGTAAAAGAGATTTTGATACACGTGTAGCTGTTGCAAAGCACAGCCTTCTTCTGGACCTTCCTTACCCAGGCTGCATTACCAACCTCTTAACCAAAATGGGCCTCAGTTGGCTTTTACTGTGAGGCAAAGTCACTGACATTTGACTTACAAAGACTTTCCACTACTTGGAAGATTGAAATCCTAAGCTCAGGAACATCCAACTCTCTTTCTTTCTAATACAGGGTCTCACTTTGTAGTCCTGGCTGGCCTGGAACTTGTTATGTGCAGACCAGACTGGCCCTGAAGTCTCAGAGATCCACCCTACTCTGCCTTATGAGTGCTGGATTAAAGGCATGGGCCACCTTCACAGGCACCTTTCTTAAACAAAAAACTGCATTTAAAAAGTTTTAATGCCAAATCAGGATGTCTATAACCTAAAAAACAGGAAACAAATGATGATGATGTGGAAGTAAATCAAATGATGCACCAAGGAGCACAGTACAGGAGGCCCTGTCAGGCACACTAGCCAGCAATCCTACTTCAGGTTAACAATCAAAGCCAGGACTTAGTAGACGCTCACACACTTATGTGCACAGAAAACGCATGCGCAACGGCGGAGACAGCAGACGGCAAAACGAACAACATGCAGTGCGCATCCACACAATGGGATAACCTCGGGCTGGAGAGATGGCTCGGCGGTTAAGAGAATTTACTATTCTTCCAGAGGACCTGAGTTCAATTCCCAGCACCCACATGAGAGCTCACAACTGTCTATAACTCTAGTTCTGGGGGTTTGATACCTTCACCCCAATGCACATAAAATAAAGGTTAAATTACTTAAAAAACAAAAACAAAAAACAATGTTTAACCTCCAGCCTTCAAAATTAATGAAAATTTGGCCACATGCTACAATACAGACAAAAGTCAAGGACATTATGCTAAATGGCTAAGCAGGTCACAAAACCACCAATACTGTATACGAGGGCTCTGGGCAATCAAGCAAGCAAGGGAGAAGCTACTGTTTAATGGGCAAAATGCACATTAAATGTAAGTGTACTTAAACACATAAGAATGGATGAAATAGTACATTTTATGTATATTCAACTTTTCAATATACCCACTGAGTTACTCAGATACCTTTTAGGAGAAAATTGAGGTTACTGCCTTCTAAGTTAAGATATTCCCATTTTAAGGGAGAGGCTGAATAATAAAAGCAAATAAAATATCTAGTACTTAGAAATCATAACACAAAAACGCTCTCTGCGTTTGTTCACACTTGCTAAGCACCTGCTCTGCCACTCAGCTGCATATCCTCAGCTCCATGTTTTTTAAAAATTTCATTTAAATGTGCTATATTATAAAGGTATGTAAATAACAGAAACAAAACCACAAATCATGAAAACAGTTTTAATTACTTAAGATGTATAACACATAAAATAACATTTTACTAAAACTCACTTTAATGTGAAAAGGAGATTGGGATTTCTTTCAAGTAAACTTGGGTATAACTGTTGTGTTGTTTCAATGGCTTCTCCCATTCGTCCTGCTAACACCAACTTCTGAATTCCTATTCAGAAAAGAAATCAAAATATCAACTCTACAAAAGAGACAACCTTAAATAGCTCCAGAAAAAATTAACAGTGAAAACCTCTAAAATAATTATTGTTAAACTCTCTTTTTCTAAGCAAACTTTGAAGCTTAGATTAGGGAATCAAAGGAAAAATTTCAAACATTAAAAACAAGTCTCTTCAGAGACTAAAATATCATGAGTGAGTATATAAGTATAGGAAAAACATCCACTGAGCAGTATTATATTTTCAAACAGTAAGATCTAGAAGACTATGTTTTAAAGAAATGACACTAAAAATAAAATGTCTTATTGAACCTTATGACTCAGGAGTAGAACACCAGACTTTGAAAAAGTCAGGACTTTGCTAAATTAGACACCAAGGACATAGAACACTCGAGTAAGTGACCGTCTCTGTGGGACAGAGCATTCAGAGGCAGTGAGAAAGACCAGCATACCATGTACCACAATGCACTGCAACTGGCCATCCAACCGTTAAGGGGGTCCTCTCACCCATCACTGTTACCTGTTCTCCATTTCCTCTTTTTACTATTGCCCATCAGATGGGGCCTCTCTGATGGCTAACTTACATCCAGGATCAGCCTGCTCTGCCCTCGTTACAACAGTACCAGCATGGGCCAGCACAAGGCCCTAAGCAATGAATACTTATGACCAACACTACCTTAAATTTAGGTAGCAATTTAGAAGACATTTAAATTTCTTTCAAAGAAAAAAAAAATCATATACTATCTCCACTATCTCATCAAGGCTGGTACCAAAACAGAAAAAAAAATAATAATAATTTCACATACTATCTCCACTATTGCATTAAAACTGGTTCCATAATAACACAAGAAAACTTTGTATCAAATGCTTCCTATTTCTTAAAGCTTAAGAAGGTTGACCCACCCCACCTTCCACCCAACAGGGGCTGACACCAAACCCAGAGCATCGGGCCCTACCAATGACCGCAATCCCAACCCACAGGAAATCAGTCTTTTAATGGAAACATGAGAAAGGCATTTCTTTTTAAAGTTCTACAAAATTATTTCTGTATGTAAAACTCTAGCGTAAAATTTTAAAATTTTTTTTCAAAACTGTCAATGAATGTGGCAGGAGGATGAGGCTAGGCTCAAGGTTAGCCTGAACAACATGAGACCCTGTCTCAAACAAAAGAGCTCCCCATTCCTAGAAGAAAACAAAAACACTCACAAAAACAACTCAAAAAGTCAATGAAAATAAATCTGGAGGCATTCACTTTAGAACAATATATTCAGGAAATTTTTAATAAAAAAATACAAATTTTCTAGAAGTTCAAGCAAACCAAACTTATCATTTAAAAACAAGTATTTGTCATGTACCAAGGTGTTCTTACTTTGTCTATTCTTAATGGATGCTAATTCTTCTAGAACAGTCTGGTCTGTAGATCTGGCAAAGGCCTCTGCTGTGGCACAGTACCCATGGTGGACTAAATAAGAGGAAACCATTCTTAAGAGAAAAAGAAGAAAATACATTGCTTAGTCAACAGAATACATGTGTTAGATGACAAGCTTTGTTAACAAGTCTAACCTGCTATTACAAAATCAATCTATTTCCTTGAATCCAGGCTCTACAACTTTCAACTTTAAAAAAAGTTATGAATAGTCCAAAAAGATAATTTAAAATAAGACCAAAAGCATTAAATCACGTTTTTAAAAATAACTCTTAGATCCCTATGAACCCCTGGCTCCGGATTCATTCCTATTATTCAGTCCTACTAATCATAATTTCTACCTCACCTTAATTACAGATATCCCAATAACATGTTAGCTAGGTGTAAAACACCCAATTTTGAGATAAATGATTAATAGTTGGTGCTCTGAAGTTCCAACTACTTTCTGTGCTCATCATCAGTCCAGTGAGATGAGATCTCAAAGTGTGAAGAGAGACGCTGATGTTAGCCCAGAGAGAGAAGTACCCTTCTGAAACCCATGAAGAACCAACTAACTAAACAATGAGGAATCATTCTTGCAACCAATTTGGTTTTGGACAGGAAATTAATTATGCAAAGTTTATAGATAGTGATACATTTCTAAGACAACAATCTTATGTTTTAAAAAAGCCCTAAGAGTTAAAATAGTTAACCAAACAATATTAAACAAAAATCTGCTACCTCCAACCACTATCTTCTCTTAACAATACCCAAAAAGGTTTTCTTAGAATTTTAAACTCCCTCTTGACTTTTGGACAGACGTATAGTCTTAAAAAGTTGACTGTCATAGTAATTCAATTTTCCTGCCATTCCTTAGGAAATTCTTCCTAGTAACAGATTTAACACTTACTTTCTTCTCTGTTGCTGGCCATGCTCCATTATTATTAATGAATTCAATGCATTTATGCTGCACTTGGGCTAACTCCACAGTCAACTGCTCCTTGGTCTTCATCCCCTTTATCTTATCCTAAGTGTCTAATGGTAACTTATATAAGAAATAGCATTAAAAGTAGTTACTAAGTTACATTATTTAATGAGTGTGATGCACACCCACACAATGGACACATGTGGAGGGCAGAGGACAACTTGTAGGAGTTAGTTCTCTCTTTCAGTATGTGGGTCCCAGTAATAGCACTTGGGTGGAAAGGAGTGGTGGCAAGCCATCCTTCTGCCATCTGTTGCCCAAGTTATTAAATTTAAATTTAATTTTTGAAGCCTTTTAGATAGAGGCCTACAGTGAGATTCTTGGATAGGAACAATTATAGTCTCCCTGAATTTAAATTAAATGCTAAATACAAAGAAAGGAAGGGGCTCACTCCAATAACCAGAACCACCCTACTAACACTCTCACAGAGAGAGCAACTCACACAACTTGCCCTGGGAAACGATGTACGCAGTCTGTCTATACTCCCATACATCTCCACATTGAGAATAAGCACCAAACAGCCATTCTTTTTCCTCCATGTATATCTGAACCAGTGCTGAGGAAGGCTCTCAAGGTCATGTCCCTAAATCACAGAACCCCAAACATAAAATCTAGGTCATGCTTCTAGACTTATCTTTTGTCAACATTTTTAGAAATTTGACTGTATAATCTACAGAATTCACTCAGTCATATTACTAAGGTTAACAAAGGAATTAACTACCTTTGTGATCAAATGTCACTATTTCCTCCATTCAGTTATGTCAGAAAAACAATTCTGTATGTGCTTAACACTATTTTATTTCAACTGGCAAACTACTTTTTTAGAGATTAAAATATAATCAGTAGTACCCACAAATGATTAGCATTTAAACTAGACTTCTAGACACACATCTTTGAATAAAGAATAGTTTGCCTTAGAAACACTCAATGTTTAAATTCTGTGTATTCAAAATTCCTTGCACTTACTTTTGTATCATGGTCTGCCATTCTCCTTCTCGATCCCCAATGGGAAACCGGTCTATCTGAGCCTGTATTTTGGTTCTCCATTCTCGCATGTAGTCTTCTATATCAAATACAAAAGGATGTTGCCCAAAATTGGCATCAACCACTTCTCCTGGTGTCTGAAGCCCCACAGTAGGATACAAATTTGGCTGTAAGACAACACATTTCTTTAAATATCTATTGATTGTACACTAAAGACTTCATTATCTTTGCAATACAAGAATAGAACCATAAATTTATTTCATGAATACTTTGAAATCTCAATCAAAATATTAGTGGAAGACAACTAAAACAACACATTATGTGTTGAATAAAAACTTATTTTCTAGATTCTAATCATCAAACAACTAAGATACACACATGAATGATTCTGAGACCCTGTTGAATAGTTCATGTGGCACTGTATTTCTAATACATAAAAAATTGAATCCGTACTCTTAAAAACGTGGTTATTATAGTTACAAAGCCTTAAAATTCACTCAGGCTTATCCCAGCCTTTATATATGCTACATGTCTACAAAATGTACATTACAGCTAGTTCACAGAAAATGCCATTTTACAATTTACTACAATCATTAACAGCACACTTGGAAGCCCTGCCTTTATAAAGACAGTGGTAAAAACTTGCTTTAAGCAAGACATAGTGTTACCATGGAGATTTTTTATTTCCCTTTTTAAAAAAGTATGGAATGCTTTGTGAATTTGCATGTCATCCTTCCACAGGGGCCATTCTAATCTTCTCTCTATCATTCCAATTTTAGGGTATTCTTAATGCAAATGCAAAAACTTCAAATGTATAATTTCAAAGGAAGAAGAGACAAATATGAATACTCAAACTGAAATGTATTGAAATATACTCTAAGATTTTAAACTGGAAAAAAAATCAAACGTAAAAAGAAGTAGCGTCTTTTGCTGTCATTAATCCACTGTTGCATCCAAAAAGAGATCACATACTGAGTGTTTATTAAATGCCAGGCCCACTCATCAGACTCACCTGTGAGATGCCTGTTGCCATTTCACAGATGTGCAAGTTAAACAACTTGCTCAGGGCTGTTCTACTACCAACAAAGACAGAACACAGGCTAACAACACTAGATCAGGTTCTATCTTTAGTCCTGGGACTCCAAATCCTCCCACACCTTTAGTACTTGGATTTGTACCTTGTTTCTTTGTTTTCAATTATAGTTGTCACAACTATTTTCACAACAAAACAAGGTAAAAATTAAAAGGGGATAACATGAGTGCAGAAAGGGATTTCCAGCAGACTGTATATTTAAAAATAACTGTTCAACAAGTAACACAAGTCAGAAACAAAATAGTACATCAAAATAAATATGAAGTCTTATTAGATTATTAAGACAAACAGTAAGACAAAGTATTGATTCTTTTGGTGGAGAGATATAGTTATGTATGTTATACTTTATTAAGACAAGAGTCTCAGGGTGGCCTTGAACTCATGACACTTTTCCTGCCTCAGACTTCCAAGTGCTAGGACATATTAAAAATACTCAGAAGAAATTAAATTTAAACCCTAAGCAGGTCAGACACTCAATACAGTCTTCTCATTTTACTTGAAAAGTTAAGACCCAAAACCTAAGAACCAATTCAATAGCACAGCTTGCTAATGGCAATACATAAAAGAAGGAAAAAAAATCTTGTCTCTTTTCTTTTTTTTTTTTTTTTTTGGTTTTTCGAGACAGGGTTTCTCTGTGTAGCTTTGGAGCCTATCCTGGCACTCGCTCTGGAGACCAGGCTGGCCTCAAACTCACAGGGATTCGCCTGCCTCTGCCTCCCCAGTGCTGGGATTAAAGGCGTGCGCCACCAACGCCCAGCTTGTCTCTTTACTTCTAACATGGCAAATTTTTCACTAAAACCATCACAGAATTATTAGATAATTTTAAAACAAAAACATGTTAAAGACAATGAAGACATTAATGGAGGGCAAGACAATTCTGTAATTTCAGGACAAAAACTACAAGCTTAAGGAAGCTGTGGTTTACCATGCAGTCACATGCATTTAGAACATAGATGGGCACAAAATTCCTTCTTCAAAAAACTGTCATCCTTGCCTATTGAGACATAATTTTATGTCTTTTTCAGAAGAGAGAAGCAATTTCTATTAATACACATATTCAAATTCACATTTAACTGAAGTTTTGTCATATATTAAATATTTCTTTGAAAAAAAAAAAAAGCCAATAGACTTCAAGTCAGCCTGTAGCCCTGGAAAGTGTCATTGTTTTAAATGAGAACTGGACTAGAGTGATGGCTTAGCACTTAAAAGCATTTGTTGCCCTTGCAGAGGACCTAGGTCTGGTTCCCAGAAGCAACATGGACGTCTACAACTGCCTGTAACTCCAGATCCAGAGGATCATATATACCCTTACAGGCTGTGGGGACTAAGCATACATGTGGTATGGAGATAGACATGCAGGTAAACATTAAACACATAAAATTAAAAATAAATTTTAAATGAGAACAGTTAATGAATGACAACAAAAGGAGTATTACTTGATTCCAAACTGAATTAGTTTGTTTAAAGTTAAAGACATTTCTTAAACAAATGTGAATTGAGGAAGAAAAACTATTTTTAAAAATGTAAGGTTTAAGAGTAACACTCAGGCCGGACGTTGGTGGCGCACACCTTTAATCCCAGCACTCGGGAGGCAATGGCAGGCGGATCTTTGTGAGTTCAAGGCCAGCCTGGTCTCCAGAGCAAGTGCCAGGATAGGCTCCAAAGCTACACAGAGAAACCCTGTCTTGAGAAAACCAAAAAGAAAGAGAGAGAGAGAGAGAGAGAGAGAGAGAGAGAGAGAGAGAGAGAGAGAGAGAGAGAGAGAAACACTCAGAAGGCTGGGAAAGGATCACCATAGATCCCAGTCCAGCTGGGGCTACAGAGTGAGACACTGTCTCAAACAAACAGAAGATTTAAGGTTGTCAGAGCTATGTGAACATACACTATGATCAATGAATCAAACAATACAGTCAAGGAAAATTAAGGCTTTCTGCAAATATACATCCTCAGGATTCACTACTCCAACTAACACAAAGGAAACTATAGGTAAGGAACATTTAAGTATTTTCTGTAATCCCTTTAAGGGAAAGACTAGTTTTTGTTTGTTTGTTTTGTTTTTTGTTTTCTGTAGTAGAAAAGTGAAGTGCAGCATGCAGACCTCTAGAGACACGACAAAGAAAACCTGTAAGAGCTACCACCATAGCTGTCTTGCTCAGTAACTAATAAAGTTGTCACTGTTTCACTCTAAATGGGAGGACTACACACAACACCAAGGTGGGAAAGAAAAACACTAGAAACAGACAAAAAACATGTATGCCTTTGTTAAATGATCACTAATGCATTGCCCAACATAGAGCCAAAGAGAACCACTAAGCTCTTCCCACCCAATGATGGGGTTTAACATGCTTATTAAACCCCAGCAACAAAACCCTCTAAATAGTTCCAAGTGAATCTTCGGAGTCTTTTTATGACAGACCCTGCAATAGTTAAGGATGCCATCATCTTACCTACTAGAATTTACCTTCAAGTTCTGGGAAATAGCACAATGGGTAAGAGAGCTTGCTGTGAAATCAAGAGAAACTGAGTTCAAGTCCCCAGCACCCATGTAAAAGCTGCCCATAGCTGTGTGTGCCTGTAACCACAGTGCTGGGGGAAGAGATAGCTGGACTGCAGAAGCTCGATGGCTGGGAAACAGGGAGAGCAATAGAGGAAGACTCCTGACCTTCTCCTCCTTTGGCCTCATGGCGAGCATGTGTGTGCCACTCTACCACGCATGCACACCCTCCCACACAAAATAGTCTGCACCTGCCTACTTGGCCACCTTGCTTGTCACCAGCATAAATGCTCTATTCAAAAGCAAATTCCCTCCACTTACACACTCGCTTACTGAAGAACATGGTACTATAGTAGTTTTCCTCTCTGCATCACCTCACTTTTTTTTTTTTTTTTTTTTTGAGTACGCACGGGAAGGGGGGGGGGTGTTGTTTCCTAGACAGGGTTCCTCTGTGTTAACAGTCCTGGCTATCCTGGAACTCACTTTGTTGAGCAGGGTGGCCTTGAATTCACAGAGATCCGTCTGCCTCTATCTCCCAAGTGTTGGGATAAAAGGCATGTGCCACCACAACCACCAGGCTTATCAACTTGTTTTCAGTGACTCATTTAATAGCAAAACAATATTCTGCTAAATTTCACTGTTTTCTGCTAAATTTCACTTACTGTTTTTCTTTCCTACTCAACCTTTTTCACCACCAGTTACTGCCCTATTCTCTAATCCTTACTGTAACCAAGACTATCCAAAGTCACCAGTAGTCTCTTACTTTACTCTTCCTATTCCTCTTTTAAATTCATTCCTACCAGACTTTCTCTACTCTGCTAAAACTTCCTTGTCATTGTCACTAGGGACCTCTACTCTACTACAGGCCAGTTCTGGGTTCCTACATGACAGGGTACATTATAGCATTGATGCAGTTGATTTCTGTGATTGTTTGAATGACACTGCCCCTCCTGGGCTTGGGCATCTGAATGCTTGGTCCCCAGCTGGTGATACTGTTTGCAGAAGTTTTGGAAGTATGTTATTGGGGTGAGCTTTCATAGTTCATAATCTCTCTTCACTTCCAAGTTCTCTCTGCCTCATGTCTGTGGTTGAGGATGCGATCTCTCTGCCTCCTGCTCCTGTTGTCGTCATGCCTGATGCCAGGACTCTTTCTTAGCCCTCTGGAACCTAAGTCAAAACAAATTCTTCCACAAGTGACCTTTGGTGGTGATGTTTCACGGTCTTAGCAGCAGGAAAATAGTAATACAACTCCTTCTCTTTGATTCCTATCTTCGCTAGGCTTTCAGTGTTAATTCACTGTCTTCCTTACCTTACTGATTGCTTCTCAATTTCTCTTTGATAGTTCCTTATTTCTCCAAAACTTACCATGACCTAGAAATCCATCTGCTTCTCTTCTGGGCCAATACATACTTACATGTTGTTCATAACCAGTTTTAAGACTTTGACACCAAATGGCCCCCAAGTTTACCACAGATAATTCTCTTTAATTCCAGCTTGCAACTCCAACTGTATACTTGACCGTATTTGACTCTTACACCAAACTAAATTACTCACCCTGCCCCCAAAATGTTCTAACAAATCCAGATGTGGTGTCTACTAGGGAGGGCATGGCAGAAGAACTGCTTGACAACTGCACAGATGAAGCAACATGGAGACCGCCTGTCCTAAAACAATGAGCAAACAAAGAAAACTGCTCTGCTTATCACTAAGCAGTCCTGTCTCCACCACTCATCCACTCAGTTCCTCAGGCCTATCATCTTAAAGTCAAGTCCTCTTTCTTTTTTAAAGATTATTTATTTATGTGCATGTGTGTGAATACCAGATTAGAGGTCAGAAGAAGGTGTCAGATCCCGTGGAGCTAGAGTTATAGGTTACCAGAGTTACCAGCAGCTTAACATGGGTGCTGGGAACTGAACTTTGCTTCTCTGGAAGAACAGTATGTGTTCATGATTGATGAGCCACATTGTTAATCCCAAATCCTGTCTTGGACTCTGCCTGACCACTTTCCTCCCCACTGTCTGAAATACTCTTGCCCTACATATCCACTGGCTTACTCGGTTAAAACTCACCACTCAAGCTCCATTCTGAGCAACAGTCAGCTTCTACAACTGTCTAGCCTTTAGCATGTCCTATTTCTCTCCAAAGTACAAAAACTCCCTTAAAATGTCACAATTCACTATTTTTCATGTGCTTACTCTAATTTCCTTACCTTAGTCACTGATCTCAAAACCCAACTCCAGAAATCCTTACTGGCTGCCAAATGATGCCAAAAGCACAGGACCTGACACAGCAGGTCTCCAATATACCTTAGGTGAATGAACAGTTACAGTTGTACAACCCTTTGCTATCATGCTCAAACATAACCAAAACATTTTTAAATGAATGCACAGTAACAAAAGTGTATTTTAGGGCTAGGGGAATAGCTCTGTGTAAAGGGGTGTTTATTACAAAGGAGGCCACAGGTGCAATCCACAGACAATCAAAAAGGGTATCCTGAATAATCTTACATTGGACAATAGGATGCTGTGCAATTTGGAGCTTAACTTCTGATGCTCCAGAGTGACTGGAGAAGGGCCATCTATTTGATGCACAGTACATGTACTGAGTATGAGTGAGACTTCTCTACATGTCTACTTCTAGTTTCTTGTACTTATTTTAGTTAAAAATGAAAAATATCTTTCAAAAAATTATGTCTTACCGGTAAGTCGGTGAAAGCAATACCTAAAAAGAAAAAAGAAAGGTATTAATGGCTTTTTTCCAAAAGCAGGTAATAGCAAAAAGATGAGTATCTAACTAAAACAAAGGGAGAGAATAGCAAAGGAAGAAAAAGTGAAAGAAAAGCCTAATTTTCTCAATAACACTAATTTCTACCTGGTTGAATGCTGTCCTACTATTGAAGATCATCAGTCCCATTAATTACACACATACTGTATTTCTGGGATACTGGCATTAACTCCAGAGTTTTAAAATGATCAACCTTCAGAGGCATATGAGTGAGAACACTGGTTAAAACAATGTCAGATTTGATTGTTTCACCCACAAGCTGTATTATCTACCTCAACACTTAATGCTTGTCTAAATTTAGCTTTTACAAAAGTTTAGGTTGGAGCTCAGCATTACAGTGCATGCCTGTAATTCTAGCATTCAGAAAACAGAGAAGAGATGATCAGTTCAAAGTCCTCCTTAGCGACACAGCAAATTCAAACTCAGCTTGTGGTTTCCAAAAAGCAAAAATAAATAAAAAGCACTTTGGGTGAAAGAAACAGACATTTTCTGTTTTTTTAAAAAAAAGTGAACAAAAGCAAATATAGTACTTATTTTTAAAACAAAACACTGTTTCCTGACAGGATATAATACTAACACATGCCTGTTATCCTAGCATTCAGGAAACTGAGGTAGAAGGACCTCAGTATGAGGCCAGTCTGGGCTACATGCTGAAACCCTATCTTAGAAACAGAACAAAACAAAACAAATTCAATCCTTCTTGAAGGATGGAGAGTGCTCCTGGATGCCTCAACAGGAATTTAAACACACATCAGCCACGTGCCAAATATAACTGGAACACTGGTAATGGTATAAGTATACTGGCATGCTTAACTACAAAGAATACTACAAATGAGGCAAGTATTTCTGTAGTATCATCTCACTGTCCTGTGTTAAAAAAAGACTGACTCCTGAGCAAGGGTCAATGCAACTGTCTAATTGCACACTGGAAACAAACAACTAGCTTGGCACCAGCTTCTCTCCTGTTGTGAAAAGCATCTAAAGCATAAGAGCATCTAGTACCCATCCAACCATAAACTATCTGATTCTACTTACTAAAATAACTAAGTGAAAAGACACAGTGAATGCAAGTATCACAGGCTGGACAACTCTAAGCTGAAACTCCAAACTCTAAAACCAGTGATGCTATCTTTTAGTGTCCAATTCTACCTCATCACAAGATTAAGTCATATTCAAAATGCAGGCATACTAAAAGTAGGTCATGAAATTACTTTCAAGCTACGTGTATAAGGCGCATATATGTGTGTATATATTCATATGTGAATATATATATATGAAACCTACACGAATATTTTTTACACTGGGTTCCATACCAAAGACATCTCATTTTATATATTACAGACACACCTACACACAAATATTCTACAGTCCAAAATCTGAAATGTTTCTGGTCCTCAGCATTTCATATAAAAGATACTTAAACTGTGATATATATTTTCAATGTACAAATAATGCTTGTGGTTGGTAAAGCTGTTTTTGACTTTTACCAATAAGAAAACTGTGTTCATCTGTCAAAAGGAAAGCAAAGCTGGAAGGTGTTTTGTTTTTGTAATTCCATACAAAATATTTTGACTATATTTAGTTTCACTTACAGTGGTTGGGAGCTAAATAGAAAAAATTATTCCAAAATCATGAGAAAATTAAACAATACAGAAAATAAGAGAACATTAACAAAACATGACTATTCCATTTTTAACAGTTTTTATAATGTAGCCTTAATATTTTCTCAAAGAAATGTATTTATAATAAATCTGCCCAGATTTACATTGTTTTACCAAAAATTTTTGTCAATAATTACTAAAGTTTCTCCTCTTTATCAAGAATGCTAATGAAAAATCCAAATTAGTTCCAGAGATAACACTTTTGGGCATCTGACAAAAAAGCATTCACAACCTGTGTGGTTCAGGCCACCAAAAGGTGCCCATAAGGAAGCTGGTACAACTATTTAAATGTTCCTTTCAATTTCCTGACTTGTCAAGAAGCTTTCTGAAATTTCATCTTCAGCTAACAGATGATGTTCGATAAGAAAATATATTTAAAATTTCAAGTTACTTAAGATCTATACTTAAACGTCTCTTATTTTTCCAGATAAAAACCTCTCCATTTCTCTTTATACAGTTAGCACATGTACATTTTGAAAACTATGCTTGAGACAGAAACACAAATATGCCAGCATTCTTGCAGAAGTCCCCTCTGCAAATGCCCTTGGGAAGGACAGGGACAGGAGCTGAGCAGTATTTGATCTTCTACACCCTGGAGTCCAGACCTAAGGCAAGAGGACCTTTCCTGTAAACCGCCAACTAGTTAACACTTCCTGCTCTCTGTCAGCACTATTCAACCCTGCCACTACAGCCATAGAGAACTTGTAAATGAATGGGTGTCACCTCCGCAGCCCTGGCACCCAGCCTAGACCCTCCAAACAGAGGTGCCCAGCATCTATAAGTTTTCGGGTATCATCTCAGTTTTCTCTGATGAGCTTACTGTAGCTCTAAATGCTGAGGTGTTACAAAACTTAGAAATGTTCAGTAAGTTGCCTGAGGTCCAGGGCAAAGAAGCCATGAGTCAAAACATTCAAGACTGACTGCAAAGGACTCTGACTGACCATTATTATATTACCTACATGCTCAATATTTATTAGATTTATGCACACCATCAAACATTTCAAATTTATAGAAAATTAGAACGTAATTCCATCATTAGGTACCCTTTTCTTAAGCATCTTACCTTTTAAAATGGCTTTCTTATTCAATGAAAAGGTTTGATTTAAATGTTTGTGAAAATCTAATAGGAAAAAAATCACATCACCTGTGATCTTCCCATCTCCCAAAATAAAATTTCTTCTCTGAAAAGTTTAAAAAATTAGTGTTAAAAAGGCTAATCGTGGTTTTCTAAAAATGTCTTGTTTTGCATTTTTGAGCTGTCAAACCTAAAAGCAGACTTCCCTTAAGTTTAAGGTCTTAATATTTTAAGCAGCCAAAACAAGACTTGTATCAGTTAACTACTTTGCATATAATCTGCATGGGGTCATTAATATGATACATAAGAATATAAGACCTTTTTTGGTAGACCTATAACAACTTTTAAGTCATATTAAAAAAAGGAGTTTCAGAATTTAAAAAATCTAAGTGAAAATATTAAGGTGGACAGAAAAGCAAAGACGTTACACATGGATTGTGCCAGGGCACTACAGAAACCTGCTACAATGCAAACTGAAATTTAGAATTCTCTTCTATGTAATGTAACACAAATGTTTCTGTCATTTAAGAAATTCCATTATAGATAAGCAGACTACTTGCAGTCTAACTTTGAAAATATTATTCATAAGTAAAGCTGTTTATGACCTCTAAGGCTATAGTTTTTTCTTCTCTTCACATGAGGCCATCAGAAATAATTTGCTATGAGCATATTCATTTTCCTGATGGTAAAAATGTAAGGTTTTTAAAAACGTTAATCTTACTACTTTTCATATTTCTTGCAATTTAAATAGAAAATAAGGCTACAGAGATGACTCAGCATTTAAGAACTGCTCCAGATTTTCCAGAAGATCCAAGTCTGGGTCCCCAACACCCACACTGGGCAGCTCATACCATTAGTAACCCCAGCTTTAGTAGCTCCCACACCTCCATCCAGCCTCCTCCAGCACCCACACATACATGGGCATTCATTCACACAAACATGTCCACGTGGACACACAAAAAACTAATAACAGCTACACGCAATGCTAATGAGCATACCCACATTCGGCTAAAGCCTTTAATTTCCTATTATTCTTCCATTAATGTACTTTAGCCCACGTCTTTTGTTTCTGTTATATACTTAATTCTGTCCTATGCCACAGGCTGTCTCAGACACCATCCTTCAGTAATCACCATTAGCAAGTCTAACCTTTAACTATGTCCATCCTGTTCTTTTACTAGAAGTACTGAGCTGTTCACTTTTTTTAACTGTTTGCCCACACCATTCTTAGAACTAATCTTTTCTTTTTTAAATTGTACTAGAAAATTGGATAACAGGGAAAAAATTTTTTCAAGCCAAACTTGGAATTTCTATCACTAGAGCAGTACTTCTATTGTTACTTCTGTATATAAGTTAGCCTTCACAGGAGATGAATTTTTATCACTTAGCATCCACATGGACAGAATAAAAAGGCACCTAGTCATTAAACAGAATCACATAATAAATATAACCATCATGCATTAGTAAAATAATCACAATATTTGGCCATTTTGCATGCAATACAACATCTCAGTACCTAAACTATGTCCATTCTTCGTGTAAAAGCAGGTATTGTTGATAAGATTAACACAACAGCCAATGACATCACCAGTTGTAAAAGTTGGTCCATATGGTTGTCCAGTTCCAGAAGAACAAAACGAATGTCCATCATCCCCATGGTAACCATATGAATGTTTATCCCAACCTAGAGAGACAGGTTCAGTATATTTACAATGAAGACCAAAGCTCCTCAGCAGTCATTTATTTATTAATGTTTAAAATATGCCAGGATAGTACAACAGATAATATAAAAATACAATCTCCAAATGTACATCTACAGTCTCAACAATTCTACTATATAGTGATTTCACCATTAAAATGTTGTCTAAAACATTACACTCACCCCCCAGAACACTAAAAAGAGGTACTGAAGAGAAAGGACTCCTATCAGGAACATGGACATAAACACAGCAGTCACAGCAGGGCATGTTTTTCCATGCATTACTTCTTTAGCTAATATAGCAAAAGAATTTTTGCTTTAATATGAGTAACACACATATACTTTAATGTAAAATAGATTATGATTTTCATTTACCACAAATTTCTCAAGGCTGTGATCCATATGGAAAAGTCATGTAATTTGTGATCTCTTTATATAACTCAACTACACACATTCTTATTTATTATAATTAAGACCTCACTTAAACCCTCTTAACTTTTGGCAAAAGCACACAATGAAAGTACACCAAGTTACCAAAGAATATAATTAGATGGCAGTGGTATTGGCTTGGTATGTTCCTGGCTCAATGTATTTCCTGTAGTTCTGTATAGGTCAGTTTGCATTTCACATAAAAATATTTCTTCTACTGAGTTTTAACATCAGAAGACAGAATCAATTCCTTTTGCTAACCGGTTCTCATATGGTATTCCGTGTCATCCACACACTCCTAAGCCACTTTTGTCATTTGTCTATACTTTCACAAGGTCACACAACTAACATGGGTTAATGGTCGGGATGTGACTGGTGGCAACAGAACCAGTCACATTAAAATGTTTCAAGTGGCTGATACAAGAATGTAAAATTAAAAAGGACAAAACATTTAACAGAAAAACAAGCATAGGTATTATGCTATGTAAGTTCTACAGAAGAAAGTGAAATTTAAATACATTAAAATCTACTCAACTTCCACTTAGCATGCATAATATAAGTGATGAAAATTTTAATCAGAAATGTCAGTCCTAAGGCCTTAACAATACTGTAACACTTGCAAGTGTACCTGGTAGTCTATTCATGTTCACACCTTGAGCAGAAAGACCAATTCCCATGTAGCTGTTGGAGAACAAAGGAAAGGAAATGCAGGTTATTACAGTCAGATATGGACAAATCACTAAACACTCTAAAACATAATCAGAACCAAGCCCAAACTGAAGCTCCTAAGGTAGCATGAAAATGTTATTACAATGTATCCCATAGCAACAAAGAGCACTACTAGCCAGCAATGAAACCTAGATTCCCAGCAAACTACAGTAATCATAAAAATATTAAAAATATTAGTAAAGGCTGGAGAGATGGCTCAGTGGGTGAGATAACAGCCACAACCAAGTCTGATCACCTGAGTTCAATCTTTAGGGTCCACACAGAAGGAAAGAACTGCCTTTCAGAAGTTGTCCTCTGATATTCACATACACAAAGTGCCAATACTACATATTAAGTGCCAATAAGAAGACATCTGTGAGATTTCAAATAACTTTGTGATATACTTTAGGGCTTTGGAAAAACAAGAACAAGAAAAATCTACCATAGGTAGATGGAAAGAAATAAGATCAGGACCAAAATTGATGGATTAGAAACTAATGATAATACACATTATTAATGACACCAAGTTACTTTTTTAAAAGATTAAGACTTGTTAACCCTTGGCCAAACTAACCAAAGGGGCAGGGGGACTAATTCTTAAAATCAGAGATGAAAGGCAAACCTTTACAACATATACCAATGTAGTTCAGAAAATTACAGACAAAGCTTAAAAACATTATATACAGTCCACTAAACTGGAAAATCTAAAAGTAATGGAACAATTTCTTTCTATACATGTATGACCTGCCAAAATTAAACCAAAAGGAGATGAATATTTCAAACTGATCTATAAGTAGTGAAGACGCTAGGACCCACAAAAAGGAACAAGGAGCAACGCCCCACAAACTATTCTGACCACCACACGCCACTCTTATAAATAAATGTCACAATTTCTTAGTTTACAAAACTCTCATAACTAATCAAAGTCCAAGTCCAAATAGTCCAACTGCTAAATTCTACAGGAACTTCAAAAACAAACACCAAATTTTTCCAAATTCTTCCATAAAATAGGAAGGGACAGAACACTACCAAATTATTTTTATAAAACCAGTATTAATTCTGACACCAATATAGACAATACAAAACAACAGGCCAATCTCTCTGATGGACACGTGTGGTGGTTTGAAGAATGGTTCCAATAGGCTTGAATGCTTAGTCACCAGGGAGTGGAACTCTTTGAAAGGCTTAGAAGGATTTGGCTGAAGTTTGTCACTGGGGGTGAACTTAGAGATTTCAAAAACCTATGCCAGGTCCAGTCTCTCTCTGCCTGCCTGCCTGCCTGCTTGTGCATCAGGCTGCCTTAGCTACTTCTCCAGCACCATGTGTGCCACCATACTTCTTGCCATGATGATAATGGACCTATTTCTGAAACTGCAAGCAAATGCTTTCTAAGAGTTGCTTTGGTCAAGGTGTCTTCACAGGACAGAACAGTAACCAAGAAAACACAGATGGGGGCGGGGAACTAACTAAAGTAGAGCTCTCCAAGAGCTTTATTCATTTATGTTTATGTGTATCTGTGTGCAGGTGGATGTTAAAAGACAATGTAGAAACTGGCTCTCTCCTTCTACCATGTGGATCTCTGGTAATGAATTCAGGTATTCAGGCTCTTGTCAGCAAGCACCCTTACTTGACTAGCCATTTCACCAATCTGGGAAACTTTAAAACATTCAAAACTGAAGACATGGGAAGACAGAATGACTTTTCATACTCATGGATTAAAATCATTCTGTAAAATGACTCTCCTAACCAAAATCAATGCAAACCCCATCAAAATTAGAATGTCACTCCTCACAGAAACTGAAAAATCTATCTTAATTTTCATTCAAAAATTCAAAGGATTTAAAGGGGCTGGAGATGGCTCAGCAGTTAAGAGCACCTGGATGATCCAGATTCAATTCCCAGAACCCACATGGCATTTCACAACTGTCTGTAACTCCAATTCTAGGGGACCCTATGCCCTCTTTTAGCCTCCATGGGCACCAGGCAAGCATGTGGTATGGACATAATTATTTTCAACTTGATTGATTCTAGAACTGCTCAGACAATAAAGCATACCTGCAAGGGATTATCAAGATTGGCTTGTGATGGGACAATCCACTCACTGTGGGTGGACTGTTCCATGGGCTGGGGTCCTAGACTGAAGAAAAACAAGAAAGAGAACTGAGTATTCGTTTATCTCTTTCTGTTTCCTAACTGTGGATGCAATTTCACCAGACACGTCAAGCTCCGGATGTCATCACTTCACCAGAAGAGGGCTATAATCTTGAACTGTGAACCAAAACAAACCCTCCATTCCTTAAATTTCCTTTGCCAGATATTTTGTCCTAGCAAAGTGTAAAGAATTAAGACACACATTCAAAGCAATCCTGAGCAAAAAATAATGATGGAAGCTATCACTATACCTAATTTTAAGTTACATTGCAAAGCCTTAGTAAAGCAGCAGCATGGTGCTAACAAAACAACACAAAAACAGACACATACATCAATGCAACAGATACAAATTCATGCACCTACAGCCACCTGCTTTTTGTTTTGTCTGTTTTTACAAAGATGCCAAAAATACCCAAGGCAGAAAAGACAACCTCTTTAACAAGTGGCCTTTAGAAAACTGGATGTCTGCATGAAGAAGAGTGAAACTAAATGCTTATTCTCAACCATGCACAAAAATCAAACCCAACTACATCAAAGACCTTAACATAAGACCCGAGACTGCTGGAGGAAAAAGTAGATAAAACACTTCAAGACACCGGCTTAGGCAAGGACTTTCTGAATAGGACTCGAGTCACTTATGAAATAAAGCCAGCAAAGACAAATGGGACCGCATAAAATAACAAAAAAAAAAAAAAAATGTTTCCATGCAGCAAAGGAAACAGTTAATTGAGCAGTCTACATAATTATTGCCAGCTATAATCCAACAGATTAATAAATGGAATAAAGACTAAAATCACAATAAGACAGGCAACCAATCCAAAAAAAGTGTTATGCAACTGAACAGTTCTCAAAAGAAATACAAAAGAAATACTTTTACAAAATGTTCAAAAGGAAATGTAAATCAAAACACTCTTGTGGGTCTATTTTCAGTCAGAATGGTTGCTGAAGGCAAATAATTGTGTCTTCCTCTTTTATTTTTGAGGCATGGTCTCTCACTGAACTTAAGAGTATGCCATTTTAACCAGAATGGTTGTACAGTGAATTCCCAGAATCCACCTTTACCAGAACCCTAACACAGGAGTGACAGAAAAAAAGCCACTCCCAGGTGGGGATCTCAAGGCAGTCCTTCAAGCCTGTAGAGCACTTCCCCTCGGTGCTAAATCTCAATAGCTTGGGAGACATTTTCTTCAGTGATAGAGCATGCTAACTGCTGCACTGATAACTCATGACAGGTGTGAGCAATATCGTATTATCTCTAGGCAGGAGGTCCTGGGATATATAAGAAAGCTATCTAAACATGAGCTTGCAATACTTACTGAGCCAGCAAGCAGTTTTCCTCCATGGTTCCTGCCCTTACTTCTCTCAGTGATACTGTGGTATGGAAGTGTAAGGCAAATAAACTCTTCTCTCCTTAAATTGCTTTTGGTCAAAGTATTTTATCACACAACAAACTAGAACACATTATCTTGTTTTTGTTTGTTTTTCGAGACAGGGCTTCTCTGTATTGCTTTGGAGCCTGTCCTGGAACTCGCTCTGTAGACCAGGCTGGCTTCGAACTCACAGAGATCGGCCTGCCTCTACCTCTGCTGGGATTAAAGGTGTGCACCACCAATGCCCAGCAGAACACATATCTTAATAGGTAACATCTACTATGTATTATTTCTTTTGTAGAGATTATTTTGTTCTAATTTTATAAATTAGCAGCCTCAAGACCCTTATTTAGATTTTGCCCATTTGCTCAATTTTAGAAAACTGTCATATAGAAGTCCCAAGATGGGGACTGGAGAGATGGCTCAGAGGTTACCAGCATTAGCTGCTCTTCCAGAGGACCAGAGTTCAATTCCCAGCACCCACATGGCAGCTCACAATTGTCTGTAACTCCAATTCTGAGGATTTGACACCTTCACACCAATGCACATTAAAAACAAAACAAAACAAAAGCAAAGCAACAACAAAAAAACAAATCAGCTTCTTTCTGTGCTGATATTGCTCCCGCCAACATGGTGAAGGTTCCTAAGACCCGCCGGATGTTCTGCAAGAAATGTGGCAAGCACTAGCCCCATAAAGTGACACAGTACAAGAATGCAAGGACTCTTTGTATGCCCAGGGAAAGTGGCATTATGAAGGAAACAGTGTGGCTATGATGGCCAGACTAAGCCTATTTTCCAAAAATGGCTAAAACTACAAAGAAAATTGCACTGAGGCTTGAGTGTGTTGAACCCAATTGCAGATCTAAGAGGATGCTGGCTGTAAGAGATGCAAGCATTTTGAACTGGGGGGCAATAAGAAGAGAAAGGGCCAAGTGATCCAGTTCTAAGCTGATCTTGTTGTGAAAACAATAAAATCACAATAAAAGAAAAAAAAAACAAATCAATGCTTAAAAAAAAACCCAAGGTGTTATTTTTTAAGTATAATCTTATTAACAATTTCAAATATTTTGCATGAATTTGACATTTTATCCAAAAAAGAATTCATGCCCCATGGGGGAGGGGGTTCTGAAGTGATACTCCTTTTGGAAACATTTTGTTTTATCTAATAATTCCCCCATAATTTATTTTGAGAAAATATAATCCTAAATGGCTGTTTAAAGAATGAATGAAAAGATTTCAGTACTATATATTAATTTTATGTAAGTTGCATTGGAACACATTCAGTATGTGTATAATGATTTGATGGTATTGACCTTACCCTTTCTGACCTGTTCCACCCTGCTGATCTTCCTCTCCCCAACTAAGCTCTCTGTCCTCTCTTTTTTTAAAAAGATGACCCATGAGTTTAAAGGCTTGCTACAAGACACTCACTCCCACAGACCTAATCACAGG